ACTTGACGTTTCGTTCACCTGAAAACAGAGGACAATCTCATTAGTGACTACTCTAAACTAACAAGTATGCACGCGATATGGGAAGAAAGAAAACTACACTTTCATCTTGGCTTCATCTTGCTTACAGCCTGTAAAAGCCAGAGAGTTTTTCACTCGCTTCCCCGAAAATAACACACAGAGGCAAACTACATTTGCAGATACCAATAATCGTACAGCCAGTGGTAAAGTGACTACGTACAGCTTTTAAGTACATGTTGACATCAGGGCCTAAGGAATGAAAAGTGTAAATAAACATATAACTACACATTGTTTCAAACAAACAAAGGTTAATTACCTTGATGTTCTTCAAGATCCATGTCTAGCTGTTGAATTTCACCATTGACTGTTTCAATCTTCTCCCGAAACTCAGCAGTCCTACAGAAAGAAAAACGTTTTATTTCAGCAAGGGAATGATTGGACATGTCATAATAAAACTGTACACAGTGCCTGTATATTTTTCGATCAGCTTCTCAATTTAGTAAGGCTTTATAGTTGTGGTAAAGCTACCAAGAAGTGTTGTTTCAAAACTTCTTTGACCAGGGGTGGGGGTGGGGGTGTCAAAACATCCGAACTATTTTCAATATTGTCTCAGATAAAGCGTTTAAATTACAGTTAGCACCCCAATCCCCTCCCTCTCACCACACACGAACTAGATGTCCAAGTTCCCCCCAGTATAACAGCAACTGGGANGGCTCGTCGCATACCATTTGGAGTGTTCTAATCCAAATTTTCATTGTTGATTCATATTACGACAACTCTTGAGGTGAGCTTTCAAACTAAGTCTTTAAGAAACAAAATTTTAATATGTTTTAAATGCCTTGTTTTGCATGTGATATGGCTCTTTGCTGACCAGTGTTACTTAAACCTTTCAGTTTACAAGGGTTTCTATTACTGGTGGTACTTCACTAGCAGAATTAATAGTGACAAAAAGGGGTGGGGGAGCACAGTGCCCTCTAGCCCCTCCCTTTAATCTCCCCTTCTGTTAGGGGTACATATGACATTAGGCCACATCTCTGAAAATGGACTCTGGTGCATTAAGATTATTTTTTCACAATTTACAAAGACGAACCTATTTCTTTCAGGATTCCTTCTCCCACAAGCACAAGCAATACATATACATGTATGTACCATACATGCATGTACCTGTAGGTCGTTAAAAAATACTAAGGTAGGATCTTTGACCCGTAAAATAAACATACTTGCGCTCCATGCTGGCGATCTCTTGATTATCTTCCTTCACCTGTTGAGTATAA